AATTCGAAATAAATCTTGCTATAGCTGTTTAGGAACTACAATGCAGATTTTCGTTTCTTCTGTGAGTAATATATATATGGTTTGACAAATTTTCCAAATAAAATCAATTTTGATTGACAATCAATCATTAAAGGCATGTAAATAAATTGATAACTTCATAAATATTAATTAACTTATTTAGAAAGCCTCAAAGTGGATTTTATTGATTTTTGTTGTTTGTAAATTTTCAAAATCATTCATAAAAAAATACTTACCCTATTTGTTAAGCCAACGTATACTTCATCACGGTATGTCTACTTTTATACTTTGTAGAACTATAATGTGCTCTATACAATGCATTGTACTGGAGTCTGCGTGACCGACATTTAGGATATGTCAATCACGACGTTGAAAAGTGTTTCTTTTCTCTACTAATTGTATAACCAGTATGTTCACTCTCACGTGCTCCGCTTAAAACATAAATCGGGTGCTTTAAACCTATGGTACCTTGTTACTTTTTACAAAGTTGAAAGGAAAGTTTAATTATTGTGAAAATTGGATTGCTATATTAGTTTAAAAATTATATATAAGTATTGGACGTTACATATATCTGCAAGAACAGCAATGCATCTGAGACAACTTGTCTAATTTCAAGATCGGACTATTAACCCCTGGATTGAATTTAAACAAGAGGCCCATGGGTCACATCGCTCATCTGAGTAACTCTGGAGGGTTGGGAGTGCTTCTTTGTGTTTTTAAGGGACATACAGACTGCAATACTGTAATATTTCGTTAAACATAGAACAATTTTAACGTCAAGAATTCATCTTGGAATATGATGCTTACCATTAAACATATAGGGTATATATACTTAGGTTGTATAATACTTAGAAACTCTACACTGCATACTCACTTTGATAAAGAACTTCTCAACGTGTAATTATCTGGCGGGAACTGATCCTTACGATAAGACTGAGCATCGGTGTTTTATATTCCTTACTATGATTTTATTGATTAGCATATTAAAATGATTTAACAAACTTCTCAAAAACCAAAGAATTAATTAGGCCTCTCAACTACCGCTAGGGTTCGATGAAAAAAAAAGATAACTCATTAACAAAAATTTATTAGAGCAGGTCCGAAGTATCAAATGGTTTTTAATCAAGTCAGTTTTTAGTGTTTCCCAAGTGTTTCTTTGCTGTCATTAGAAATCAATGGTTTTAAAATTTAGCAAAAATTTTAAACTTATTTATTATACAGTTACGGACACTGCTTTAAATTAAATAAAAGTGATATTTTTCATTAAAATATAAAGTTAAATATACCCCCTTCTAATTGTTGTACTTAGTCTTTCTTCTTTGTGCTTAGTAATACAAATAAGATAATTAACTGTTGCATTTACTTGTAGAAATATATATGTTTATAAAGGAAGCATAAAAATGCACACACAAAGAACATGACATTATATTGTCAACTTCAGAACAATCGTAAAAAAAGAGAGTTAAAAATCCTGAATATAGTCCGTTTCTCATTCATTTGATCCAGTTATTTCAGGCAGAGTGAAGAAATTTTCCTTCTTTTGGTCTACTTTTGTGTACAAAACAATACCAACTGAAGCAGCCTATATATCATTCCTATAAATGATAACTCATAAATCAGCACTAAGTTGGTCAATTTTCACACTTGAGTTGCCTGTCCTTAAAACACAAAATCATACATATCAATTATTAATAAACAAAATTTTTAATGATTTAATTAAAAGTGTGCACAAGTTATAATCTCTTTTTTTTTTGATAAATTAATGTACCTAAAAATCTAACTATAAAATGCTTTAACCATATGTGCAACTTTAATAATTAGTTGAAATAAAAAAATACATCAAAATAATTTAATTTTGTATTCTAGCCCTTCATTGGTTGATATCAAAATGGAACGCAAATTATTTCTGTATAAAATGGTTTCGTATGGGAACATCCCCTCGACAACCATCTTAATCATCTGTATCCATGCAATCCTCTCATTTCCAGTCCTTGGGATTCAAGGAAAATTCCTGATTTATTAAATTTACTTTTAACTTTAAACAATTATTCGATCTCACCATATGTCCACACGTAAGCTTCATAAACGTCATAACAATTCTTACAAAGATACATAGCTGGTTCCAGTAAATGTTCAACCATTCCCTTTCTTTACACACCATTAAGATATTAATAGTAGTGAAGGAGAACGTCAAGAGTAGTGAGCAACAATATATATTTGAGAAGAGGTGAAATTAAGATTTGGATAGTTAAAAATTCCAAGAAACTTTTGGAAAATTTGAAATCACAATATTTTACCAAATTCAACAGCTTACGACTTTTCAACTTTACTCACGACCATTCCCCACAATAAATAAGATTCCAGGATTTTTATTTCATTGATATCTGCTTTTTTAAATGGAACTCGGAAATTTACTTACCATGTCATTGGTCATTTGCAAAATAAATCATTTTGTTAAAAAACATGCTGATTGTTCACATATGTTCCCTTAAGTTGACATCAAAAAGATGCTTGAGTTTCTTATTGACAATATTCATGTGGGTTTTGGAGACCAGGTCTTCCAACAATCTATTGGAATTCCCATGGGTACCAATAATCATTTTGATTTTCCCCCACAAAATGGAACTGTAAACATTTTATCCCATGCAGACTTATTTAAGGATTTTTTAGCTTGCATGATTGAGAACTCATATATCGAATACCTTGCTTTAACCTTTATTTTGGTCAAAAATTACTTTGCAGTTTAAAGATAAATTGTACAGGGAGAGGGTGTACATAGGCCTTCTCTGTTGTCCAATCCTTATTGTATTATGCAAAAAATATGTTTAAAGTAAAGATAAATTGTTCTATTCAAAGTCTTTTCATCATTTCATAAGTTCTGGCGTCGATACAATGACCTTGTCAGCAAATACAATTTATCATTGAGCCAAATGCTGACTGACGTTTCTCATACCAATTGTTAGTCCATTATTTACACACTGAATTGACAACGGATTTTTCCGTTATTTCCCGATCATGATAAGAATCACATGGCGGGTGTGACCGGTCGGCATGAGATGCTCACTCCTACATAGCGCCTGCTCCCACCTCTGTTTTGCAGGTCCATGTTTATTCTGCTCCTATTTTGTATTGTCATATTGACTTTTGAGCTTGAATACTAGGGGGGCCTATATCTCCATATATTTCATTTAATGCATTAATATTTCTTATTAAATGATATTTTGATTCATACTCAATTTTATTGCCACTAAGAAAAAAAATTAGAACTCATGTTTTGTTTTAATTGTAGATTTTAAAAAATCTCACTTTCAATGTATCTTTTTTTCAGCTTTATTGCAAATCGTTATATGAGATGAATTTTACATCTTTCAACCAAGTTTTAGTTCAGATTGGTTTAAGATTGGAATCATATACATTATTTAAACATTAGACTTTCAAGATGTATGTTGTAGTGCGCTATATAGATTCTTCACATAAACTTTTAGCTGATTCTAGACCTTCTTTTGTATTCTATACAAAAAGAATACAAAGCAGTGATATTATGTAGGTCACGATAAACTAAGCCCAGATCATGGTCATAATTTTTCAAAAGTCATATCAAATAACCTGGTGCATTCATACTTTATGTTACTGTTGCATTTACATTCTAGGTCAGTATGTACACATCCGGTATGTCTATAGATATTTACGAGGAACATTAATTGAATTTTTTTAAAAGAATACGTCGCATAACTACATCAAGATCTATTATTTCGATTCCTTAACTTTCACGAAATGCAATGTTATACATACATTGTAGGCTAGAATCAGATTTAATAGTGATGAAGGAAAATAAACTCGAGAGAAAATAAGTAATAACTGTTGTGGCGTTAATGATCAAATATATTTCGGATTTAAATAGTACTGTCTCTTGAATTAAGTTTACACAGTGACTTTTCCAGCAAACAAAGTTCTAAGTATTCTTCACATTATCAAAATTGAAGAAGACAAAATCATTAAAACAAAACATACAAAAAAGGAAAGAAATTATTTTTTATGTATGCGGTGAACTGAGTTTAGTACAAAGTGTGGAATATAAAACTTCTTTAGCTAGTATGCACAAAAGTGCAAAACCATGGGAAATGGAAACATAATTTTTTTTAGCTTTGATGCTTCTCTTTGATAATTGGTGAGTATCATTTTTTTTTACAGCACTTCATACTTATGCTCTCGAGAATATTCATGAAAATACCTACGATCCTTTTATTTAATTATCCTCTAAAATAATTTAGGTCAGGGGTGTCCTAATACAACTTTAATAATAAATTTCTCTTCATCAGAAATATGATCATTTCTGACAGCTTTTGCTTTATTACATATCAAACCTTGCATTCCTGGTGTGTGTTCGCTTTTTAAAAATTTATTTCTGACTCGGGGGTTAATGTTATGGTGAAACTGAACATTACATCTTTCATAAGGAAAGCATTGGAATAAACAGAAAAAATAAGGTCTATTTTATTGCAGCAAATTGCTGCCATCAATGCTATACAAGAAATTGTCAGAGACGCATTCTAATCACGTATTATCATTTATAATGGGATCCTTTTAAAGCAGTTTGTGGACATTATTCAGTGTATGATAGCTACTTCTTTTATCACATATCTTTTATTCTTCCGCTTCTTTTAATTTGGCTAACAAAGCAAATTGTCCTAATATTAAATTATACAAGATCCTAGATTGATGAATCAGGATTATTTTCTAATTTAAGAATTGGGTTTTCCTCTTTAAAACGTAGAAAATCTCATTGAAGTTTCCAGACACGTGATAAGTTAACCCTTTTTATTTAAAGATGCAACATCAGACCAATTTATGGTTCATTTTGAATAATAAAAAAAGCATTCATCGCACTTATCTACTAGTATATTTCCTTATTGAAAATCAAACTTAATGATTTGTTTTAATTTTAAATTGTTCAGAATAAAAACACAATCATGAAAGAAAAAGACAACAACCTCGGGATGCCAATTGGTTAAAATGCACGTGTAACTGACAGATTATTGCCTCAGGAAACATTGAATGTCATGAGAAAGAATGAATGACAAGCTCATTTAAATATGTTCTGTTAACGTGGAAAGGACAAACTGCACGTTTTGATAACAGGTTCGTTTTTCTTCATATTTATAAACAAAAGTAAAGCATATATTTCAAGGTTAAGATAAATTACATAACTTCAAAGTAACTGACAACATTATATTGTAATTTGCGCTTAACAATGTCTGATAATGTTTCTAAATATATCCTTCTTCCTGACCTAAACAAAACTACCATCACAGTAAGGAAAAGTGGTCACGTTCTTTATAAGTAATATCTGTTTTATGTACTATAATTATTTTTTGGCGTATTTTATACAAAATAACATCTCCAAGATTACATTTGACTGACATGATATGCATGTACAAAATTGTTTTGTTTGTTTAAGGATACAAAAATACAATGCTCTCCCCTACAGCAGTGACTTACAGATTTATGTACATGTACTTATAAATACATGTAGTTTCAATAATCTTAACAACAGTTAATGCAGATTTTCCTAAAGTTTTGATATAGTGATATAAATGTGCAAAAATAATCATAGATTGATGCAGAAAATTGCACGCAGTATATTTTTTTTTCAAATATATCAGGATTATTTTATTTTTGTCATTTCAAAATATAAATACAACAACAAATGCTGTGAATTTTAGATTGTGTCACTTATTTTTAAATTATGAACAATCATTTCAACAAAAAATATTTTTGGAGGGGTTTTTTTTGAAATTTTTTATAGCGTTATTCAAAATTTTGATAACTATCAGTTACATGTATTTCCAGTTGATACCATGGTCAAGACGATACCATTAATTATTGGAGCGGGAACATTGACGTTAGCCATTATAGTATTATACAACGTAACACAACCTGATAACCACATTATAAAATTACTACGACTTAATCGGACTATTGGTGAACCCAATTCTGTCTCATTAAATAAACCAGTAAAAATATCAGGACAGGATATCCACTTAGAAAGACTACCACCAGAATCACCAGCAAGGAAAATGTTTGAAAAGGAACTTTCTAGGATAAGTTACAATTTAAAATCGGGTCAAATTGCGGATTATGGACCCGAATCTTTTGTTGTGTATTCAGATGTAGATGCTGAGAAAACTGTTAATCCTAATCCAATGATGGCTCAGGCTGTGATAGTTCCCGAACAACAACAACAACCAGCTCTTAATTTACATAATCTGCTTGCTAATGAAAATAATAAGCTATCAAATGTTCCTTCTCAATTTAACTTAGAAACACACAAAGGAATACAGAATGTCCCTGTAAACTCAAATAACCCAAATTATATTCAAAACACGCATATTTTAAATGTTCCTGCCAATCAAAATTCTCAAAATGAACAAATACAAAATGTACCTGTCGGACAAAGTGCCCAAAATGCACAGATACCAAATGTACAGATGCAAAATGTACAGATGCCAAACGCACAAATACCAAATGTTCATAATCCTCAAGATTGGAAAATCATCAACCAAAGTGCACAACTATCAGCAAATCAAATAGAGGCACACGACAACCAACTGATAAATCAACCTGGTCTGCAGAATCAACAAGGGGCTAAAATAAACTATAATTCTGGTGGTGTGTGGCAGCCAATAGAACAGAACCATCAACTGTCGGGTATTGTTCAGGGTGTCCAGAAAAACTCAAAGGCGGGGACAACGTATTGAAGACTTGTAAAGGGTGATCATTTCATTATTATTTTTGTGATTAATTTTGAAGATATTGTTCAAAGCATGTGCGTATTTGTTTTGTTATCAGTATGAGCTAATTTCAAGATTTCAGTATTGTTAGAATAAACTTTTTTTTAATTTTTGGTTGAGTTTTATTTGTGTATGGAAGTGTGGTAAACAATTACTTAATATTTACATGAAACGGGTATTTTGCAGATAATGTTTGTGGAAATGTCATTCAAAACACCATGATATGGAAAGGGGTCAAAAGGTTAAAGAGAGCGTTTTATTTTGACATCACAATGTTGAACGTCAAGAAATAGCAAAGTCAAAAAAAAAAAATCACGCTCAAATTGACCAGAAGCTGTTAGATGTTCGCTCTTCCATTGAAAGTATCTTACAAGGAGGTTAATACATGGATTTTGAAAAATAATCAAATTTGCAATCAACCCAGAGATTAAAATATGTAATCATATTCAATAGATCATTATTTATGTGCAAACAAATTTTCATCTTAACGTGCATTGTATTATCCTGTATTTACTGACTTCTTACGTTTGTTAGTACAATGTAATTCGAGAACAGTCAAGCTTTGCGAATTGATTTCTATTCTTTATACATACTTTTATTAAAGTTTTCCCCATTTTTTTGGAAGGATAATTTTTTTTCGAAAAAGTACTGAGTAATAATCAAAAATATACATGCAACTAATATTTCGTATCAGAAATAAGCAACTTTGAGAAACTAATTATACTTTTCCTACCTTTACCTTTGTGTCCTCTCTCTACTTCTGACGTCTAGGTACACTTGCAACAAAGTATTTTGCACAGGAACAGAACCAAATTTTCTCATGCAGTGTACAAAACACAGAATTATGTAACTGACGTATTGGCATATTGCGTAGTTGTGGAGCAACTGCATACATTGACTTTTTGGGAGGTTTCTGCAATCTAAACAATATGTCCAGCAGCAAACCTCACTTTCAATATTTGCTGCAGTGGGGCCATGTTTATAAATTTGTAAATTTTTACAAAAAATGTGAATTTTTAAACTTCCTAGCAGGCATTGGCATCTCTCGATCTACCAGAATGGGACTGGGCGAAATCTTGTTTTCCCTCCATCAATGCTTCCGAGCAGAAAAGCATTTACATTAAGACTCTGTATGATTATTTCATTGATCAAACAAAAACAAACCCTGAAGTAGAAATTAATGCAACAAAACAACCAGCATTAATTATGAAAATCACAACTTTTGTATCGTTTTCTCTTAATCAGCTTTTAAATTGATACCCTGTTTATCCTACATGTAGGAAAGAAAGTCCGTGCAGTCGCATACGTCTTACAAAGAGAACAATAGATACGTGTGCTTAAAAGATACATAACGTGTGCTTTAAAGATACCTAACACAATAATAAATACGTGTTCTTTAAAGATACATAACTACTAAAGATAAATTACACTGTGATAACAAAAATAAGCAATAACTTGTACTGTTAATCGAACAAGCAAAATATTTTTCAATAAATGAAATTTTAAAAAACATTTGGTCCATAATACTGATGAAGTAGTGTGTTAAAACCTTTCTTTTTATAGAAAACAGACTGTCAAAAACAATCATTATTATTATGTCTCTCTTTCCATATTTTTAATAAAATTGATTTTAAAGTTGATTGTTAATTCACATATATTTCGGTTAAGGTACAGCTTTTGAGTTCTTTTCTGTCTAAGTGTGTATTATTTGACAAAATAAATAAATAAAATAAATCGCTTCCCTATGTTGTAATATTTAGTATTCATTGATTTTTCAAAACTGACAACACAAATTCTGTTATACTCAAAATAAGTCTTTAAAAAAATTAATTTTTATGAGATTGAAAGGCATACAATTATACATGATCCTGTATTCTTTTCTGATATGACCACTATTCATTAAATTAGGACAAATTCGTTGATATTGTCTTTACAGGTACTTGTATTCCATTATCAAACTTGAAGGGAACGGATCAGATTGTTTTAATGAGATATGGAAAAAGCAAACCGTGATAAAGCTCAAATGTCCATTGAAATAAAATAAATTGAGAACAAAGCAAACACGAAATACTAAAAACATCAGATAAGGATCTGGTGCCATTGTGCAGTAAGCATCCCATGTTGATCGCTGTGTGCGCCTTGTCGTGAAAGATTAAATTAAAAAAAAATAGACAAATCATTGCGTAATTATGGCCTCTTTTCATGTGGTCGATCTTAAAATATAAAAACAATACAAATCTGTGAAGAGGACAAAAAAAGTTAGATTCATTAACAATCCAACAAAGTATTGGAATTCCCATGGGTACCAACTGCTCTCCGTTAATAGCAGACCTATTTTTGTATTAATATGAAGCAGATTTTGTGCAAAATTTTATGCGTGAAAAGAAGAAAACACTTGCTGTGGCCTTCAACTCGACATTTAGATATATCGACGATGTATTGTTAATCAATTGATAATGGCAATTTCCATTCCAATGTCGATACGATATATCCTGGTGGGCTTGAGATAAAAATATACCACATCACAAAGTCTGACACATCTGTTTCATTCTTGCATATTTCACTTGAAAAAGACATTAATGGTAATCTAACAAATAAGCTCTATGATAAACATGATGACTTAAACTTTTCTATCGACAACTTCCCTTACTTATGCAGCAATATTCCTAAATATCACCTGCATACGGAGTTTATATATCTCAGTTGATTCGATACCCAAGAACATGCTCTACATATGAACATTTTCTAAGACGAGGTAAATTATTGACAAACAATTTGATGAAACAAGAATATCAGCAGTCTCGTTTAAAGTCATCATTTCGTAATTTCTATGGTCGATACAATGACCTTGTCAGCAAATACAGTTAATCATTGAGTCAAATGCTGACTGACGTTTTTCATACTAATTGTTAGTCCATTATTTATACACTGAATTGACGACAGATTTTTCGTTATTTCCCGATCATGTCAAGGAGCACACAGCGGGTGTGCCCGGTCAGCAGGGATGCTCACTCCTCCATGGCACCTGTTCCCACCTCTGATGGTTTGGAGGTCGGTGTTTTCTCTGCTCCTTTTTTGTATTGTTTAAATGACTTTGATATTGAATAATGTTCGTTATCTCCATATCCTTCTCATTGTGTTTGCTAACAAGGATATTGTGTCAGCAATAGAACTCGCAAAATGATGACTTTAAAGAATCAGTCAGGGTTGGCCATCGTTTAAAATTTTACTGTGTTGCAGAGTTTAAGCGAAGCACTAAAATTTCGCGGTATTTTTCGCGATAAAATTCGCAACTGACTCACTATTTATTATAATTACAAAAGAATACACATTTTTTTTTAAAAATCGCCAGTTCGTTACACAAATGGTATGGTCGTACATATTGATAAAAGTAAAAACACATGTTCTGAAAAGCAGAGGAAATTCTAGCCGATACAGTCGAACTACTTACAGTTGAACTTCGGTATCTCGAACTCTGATATCTCGAATACTATGGATATGTCGAAGTGATGTAGAAGTCCCTACCACATATTCCTTCAGTATTGTACCCTCGATATCTCGAATCGTCGAAGTTTTTCTCAGTCCAATCAGGTTTGAGATAACGAAGTTTGACTGTAATTAACATTTTTGAAAGAAATTGCCGTGATTATTTGTCAGTTTTCTTGATATAATTACCGAATTAAAAAAAAGAAACTTTAGAAAAGTGAAATACTTTAAAGATTGCTTTGAATATGTTGAAATTTGTAAGCAATTTATTTACATCAATTAAATGACTTCGGTACGATGATATGTCTGACTTACAGTGTTAACGTAATTCTAGAGCCGTGGCTCTAAAGAAAAGACATTTAAATAATTGTTTTTGAAAAAAAAAATACAATTAAAAAAAATAACAAATTATTTTAATGCAACTACCAATTATCCGTTACATGGAAGAGTGAAAACAAATTATTTGTCTTTGTTCCTTTATGCGTAAAGTCCGGTGATGGTCTAGGAGATAATTGATTATTATGCAAGGTGAAGCCCCAGTAATTAAGTGCTCTACCTTTTAGAATTGAAAGACGGTAGAATTGTTTGATTAAAGTTTCAGTTAGAGAGAATTTATATGTTTGGATTTTCTAATTATCACAGATCTTACTGTGTCGGCAAAATTTTTACTGTGTCGCACGCATAAAATTTCAATCGTTACTGTGTCGGAGAAATTTTTACTGTGTCAGGAGCAACACTGTATAACAGCTCATGGAGAACCCTTGAATCAGTTGTTATCCTTATTTCATCAACTCGATCCTTAATGGATTACTCCTTTCAGAATTGTTCCTACGTGAAGCATGCTCTTGTGTCACTTGGAGAATGAAACCGCCAAGGTGATAATGACATATTGCTACATAAGTAAGGAATCAGGTTTATCACAACATTTTGTTGTAAGGGTAACATTTCCGTCGTTTACTTGTAAAATATCCAAATATGATAGACTCTGTGAAATCTTTTATTTCATTTCGGTTTCCATGAGAATTCCGGTTGTGTATCGTAAGATTTGATCTCTAAAAGACCAGGGATACCGTCAATTTGAAACTCAGCAATATCAAATATCAAGTTAAGAGGTCTTCTGTGTACAATCAGAATGTTTTTATTTAAATAATTTCCTAAACCAGAAATGACAAGATGAGTAAATTTTCGAGTTTCTTTGATATTGAAAAGAAGCTTATGATGTCAAAAAAGCCTGATTTCAATTTTTGATGACAAATGGTTGCATTGCGTGTTGAAAAGTCATACCCTTTTGTACTTATTGAATTTGATGAAAATTGATTTCAAATTTTTCTAAACATTTCTTGGAATTTTTAAGCATCCATCTCTGATTAACATTAACACCACTGGAATATATTGTTGTACAATATTACTGAAGTTTCTCCTTCGCAGCTGTTTAATGACAATTGGGAATATCTTATGTTAATTCAAATTCATTTTGATGATTATTGGGGATATTTAAAATGCTATAACTGACATAGCATCGTTGGGCTGTGGGTATATGTAGGATTCCCATTTGCAGAATTAAATCCCAGATCATCTAAAATATTATTGATGTAATGATCCTAGCAAGCAAAGTCAACGTAGTAAACTACTTTGTCAGCCAAGACCACTACATACTGATCGTAAAATATAATTCCTTTTCCATTTCAGAATTATGTTAGATAAAAAAATAAATGGTTTACATATAACCCTTTTATATCGCTTACTG